GTTCTCTTAACTGAAAGTTATTACGCATTTTGATAATCAGAGAATGTTATCAAAGTTACAGGAGGAAAGAGGACGGATCTCTTTTCTCCCCCAGTATGATTTCAGCTATGAATGGATTTTCTGTGCAAAATTGATTATTTAACTAAACTAATTCTTATGGTTTAAAGTTGATGAAACATCAATGTATTATTTGTCTGGATCATGTTGCAAATGTTTGAGTTTGAAGTCATTCATTTTTTCAGTTATGTTTTTAAAGAGTTCTCATCAAATAATACCTAAACAGGTCATATGTTTAGTTGTTATGTTTAATTCAATTCAATAATACTTGCATATATTCTGTTGCGTCAAACTGACTTCCTGGTGGTAAAACTGCAGGCATCTGGGGCCTCATGCATAAAGGAGTGCGCAGCTTTCACACTAAAAGTTGAGGTACGGACAATTTTAGAAAAGTGCGCCGCACCAAAATATTCAGATGTATAAAAATGTGCGCACGCAGGTTCCTGCACTCCTTTCCTTTATACATCCCAACGAACGTGGAACTGAGTGCACGTGAGACAGCTCCCCTGACACGCCTCAATTTAAATATGTAAAATAGATGTAAATGTGTCCAGCGTGTGAGATTCTCCTCAGATTGTCCTCTCTGTGRGATCAGAATTGATTTTTAGATGCAGAAAAAATATAAATTAAATGGAGAATACGTGAGAAAACTGTCTAAATAATTAGTGGAGTGTCATTGTTTTATGTGGCGCATTTGCATGGGATAACCAAAGCCTGAGATTTTCCTGAAATTTAYAGACATCTCCCGAATGTGATATTAAAGCCTGGTTAGTTGTTGCCTATTTAGTTGAACGCGGTGTTGAACGGATGTTAAAAAACAAAACAAAACAAWAAACAAACAAACAAACAAAAAACATCCCGTTATCCACTTTTTCCTCTCTCCTTTCCTCCTGCGTTACAGCAGGCGCTGCCATCTCCACGGACCCCTACCCCACCGCCACGCGCGGGTACGAGTGGTAGCTTACAGATTTTTAGCAAAAAATAAGTTTTTGAGGCTCATTAGACAGGTAAACGTCCAAAGGGGTTGACACGTATAAACACCTTCCCAGCTGGCGAGGGTGCGCGCCTGGCGCGAGAATCTACCCAAAGCGTGAGCCTGATGCGCTACGGCCACAACTCAACTCAGCATCAGCCAGAAGGTTACACACAGAAAAAATAATTATTCTTACCGTACAGTGAGCCAACATTTGCATCCAATTTTGCTCCCTCTCTTCAGTCTTTTTTATTGGTTTTTTTTTTTTATGCCGCACGTAATGTTTCGGGTTTTTCCTGCCCGGGACCCAAAAGGTTTTCAACGTTGTGACAAAAATATAAAAACATTTTACAGTTTACAGACTGGGCTGAGGTTGTTTTGATCATTTTTAGACTGATCTATTTTCTTGTCTGAGGTTAAATGATTTTCAATTCCGGGTTTCAGTTTCATGATCCTTCGAGTTTAAACAATAAAAACTCAACTAAAATAAAAATATGACAGTGTTCAGATGCTCCTTACATCCAGAAAACACAACAGAGTCATATTTCTGTGGATTCAGGTCAGATTCKTGACTTTGTGGGTTAAAACTGTCGACTGAAAAACTTTGCGTGGTTGCCGCACATTCTCACGGCAGGTGAAAACCAACAACGTTGGTTTTTCTACATCACAACATGGACGTAGAACCTGGCGCACGTAACTTTTTTATGCGTATGCACCATTTRTACATKAGGACCCAGATGTTTAAGTGGGACAGAAAATGTAACTTGACAATTACAGTTGGTGAGAATCAAAAGTTCCCAAAGCAAACACTTGAGATTCTGTAGGAAATTCTTTGGGTCATTTTTGACCCCAGTTATGAAAAAGCCGGGTAGTGACACAAAAACTGCAATTTCTTAAAATTTATAAAAACTTTTAAAAAAATTCAAATGGCKTCAGGTCACAAACATGTTTTATGAGGAATRCCTGTAATATAGAAGTGTTAAACCTTTTAATTTCAGAGATTTTTTAAGAATAACAACCCCCGGGGTCATTTTTGACCCCACTTATGCATCTAAGGGTTAAGAAAATATGAATCATATCCTAAATGTACGCATATTTTTTTTGCAATATCTTGTCTGCGCCAGCCCATTTAGGGCATTAGCATAGTCGCTGTGATCCATTTTGCTGTGTTTTGAACCAGAGCAAATCACTTCCTGCCTCCCATCTGACATTCTCGCGTCATCCGGGTCATGTGACTGCAACCCAGCATTACATGAATAAATACAGTACTTCTAGCAGCAGAGCGGGTTGGAAGGTGGTTATTTGATGTTATTTGATGTTATTTTATGATTTTTTTAAGGCTCTGAAATGTAAAATAAATATTAAACTGAGTTTTTGAAAATGTTCAGCAGCACGATTAGAATGCAGATTTTTTTTTTCCTCTGCTCAAATTACAAACCCTGGGGCCTCATGTATCAACGGTGCGTACACACAAAAACCTTGCGTACTTCATTTTCCACACAAAACTCCGGATGTATCAAAACTCAACTGAACGTGGAAATGTACGCAGCCCCACGCCAACTCCAGGGCTGGCGTACGCATGTTTCTGTGGTTTTGGTGACACTTAGAGGTGATTCTGAGAAACTGTTACTGATGTGAAAATAATTATTGTTCACAGCAGACACACATGATTAACAATTATTACATCCACATGGACACAGTTAAATAAAGGACGTGTAAAGTTGTGCCAAAAATACATTTAACAGGAATGGATTCAGCCTTACTGGAGGATATAATAAATAGTGTAACACGCAGAGTTTTTATTTATAAACAGATATAATTTTCTGATGAYGATTGGAAGATGAGAGGAAGTAATTTGCATCTGTTTAACATATGTTAATGAAGGCGTGTCAGGGGAGGTGTCTCACCTGCKCTCAGTTCCAYGTTAATTGTGATGTACAAAACAAATGTGCGTGGATTCAGGCGTACGCATAGTTTGATACATCTGGATTTTTTTGTGTGTACGCCGTTTTCTGGATTTGACTGTGTGTCAGGTTTCAGTAAGAAATCTACGCAAGTCTTTGTACACGAGGCCCCTGGTGCTTTGTTCAGATCTACACGCCACTTCATATTTTTACTCACATTTGACCAATGGCCGGGGCTAATTTTCATCCCTGGATGTCACTGGGAAAAATAAAACTGGGTTAAATGAACATTAATTAATAAATCATGTAATTTGATGTCTCTCAGGTCCAGGCCATCCTGGTCAACATCTTYGGCGGGATCATGAGATGTGACGTCATCGCTCAGGGCATCATCATGGCTGTGAGAGACCTGGATCTGAAGATCCCCATCGTAGTACGGTTACAAGGTACATCTCACACCAGCAGGCCCATGAATGAATGAATGAATGAATGAATGAATGAATGAATGAATGAATGAATGAATGAATGAATGAATACTGTAAATAAAACAAGTACAGTCAATTTACCATTTACCATAAATAAATAAATAAATACAGCAACAACAGAGAAATGACAGAATTGAAAGCAGAGTTGTTGAGTCTCGGGTCATCCAGAGTTTATCCCTCCCCTGTAACTCCTGTTAGAATCAGAGACTGAAAGCTGTGTTGAGTCTGAAGGCAGAGTTCTGATTGGCTAATCTCTGTCCTAATCCTAATCTGGTGTCCTGAGGTTTGGGTTGTAACAGAGAGAGGAGATGGCGAGGAAAGCTGCCACATTCATTCTCTGAAGTTTCAGTAACATAACCTGAGAGACGAGATGAATACTGAACTCAGGTGTTCAGCAGCATCTTGGCTGAGAAACCCCGAGGTTTTCTAAAAATCTCCAACACATCAGAATAATTGTTRGTGTCGTCTGGCCCGGCAGAAGATCAGAAGCCCTGAGCAGGAGAGGGAAGTGCAGCTGGAGGGAACAAAGAAAGTCAAAGCCTCACATTTCTGAGACGTTCCGCTGAAGTGTTGAGCTTGAACTGTAGTAGAACTACTTGGGAACCCAAACAAACAGAAACAACATTTTATCAGTAAATCAGAGAAGCATAGATCCAGTTTTTAGATCTGATCGACAAAGCAGACATTGCTAATAATTAATGTTTAGTGATGAACTCAGAGTGGTGTTTATCATCACCTCCTTCTAACGTTCCAACATGTTTCATGAAAGTAGAGGCTGGACAATGTTTTTATCCTCAGCTGTTAATAAATAATCCCTCCGAGCTTCACGTCTCTAAATGTTTAGAGCATTCTTGTTTTATTTGGTCTTTATTTTGAAGTTCAGGGTTAAAATGAGCTATAGATACATGCGTTATGTTCTGAAACTCTATTGTACGAAGAGAGTTCAGCTGTTGTGGAGTGAAGCTGCTGTTCTTCAGTGTCTCCTCGCAGAATAGTTCTTATCCTTCTGTCAGATTTTCTTCCTTACCTGCAGGTGGAAAACAGTGATGCTTGAAACAAACCAAAGTTTTGGCTGTTTGTGTTTGGAGCTTAAACAGATCTGACTGTTGTTTTCCTCAGGATAAAATGTTCTGCTCATGCCTTTTTTATTGTGTTTAAATGTGACCACTTTCTGCTGCAGTCTGTGCTGCTCTGCTGAGATGCAGCCACACGTTTCTCTACAGACTGTTAGGTTATTTTAGTTCTCCTCCTGTAAGAATCTTTTTGTCGTGGACAACTCTTCTGTTGCTGTTCCTGCTACTTTATATTCTCATTAACATTTCTGATGTTCAGAAAGTGAAAATGTGCTTCAGTCTGTGGAAAATACACACAAATACATCAAACTAGTGTGATTTATTGTAGTGTGTGTGTGTGTGTGTGTGTGTGTGTGTGTGTGTGTGTGTGTGTGTG